TACTTTCCAAAGTTCTGAAATATCACTACACTATTATTTTGACAATGCACTTACCTTAAAATAACGTTTTTGTTTTCTATTTGAAGTCGCTTTCCCGTCCATTTTAAAATAAATTAATAATAATCTTTACTGGAAAACAAACACTGGACATTCCATTTAGAAATTGGGAATATCCGTTATGCATTTTTTTTTTGTGTGCCTATTTCGGTGCAGGTGAATTACCGAGAAAACTATTTATAGCACACAAGCGTCTAAAAAAAAAATCATGGACAAAATACAGGGAAATTGTAAAAATTATAAACCATCACAATGATTAAAAATTATTTTGATTTGATTAAAAAAAAGTTTTATATATTTTAGAAACTGTTTAAGAAAAGCTCTTGTTCTATAAAATTTTTGATAATTTGGTAACCAAACAATGTTACTATTCTCAAAAATTAAACGCTATTATAATTATTAATAATTTCGAAAAATAATAATATACATATTAAAAACAGTATTGATTAATAAACCTTTCAACTTATAATCCTAATCTGACAACAAGCTTGGCCAACCACATGTATTTAAATTATACTCTACACATTCAAAACAAAATTCTTTGAAATAATATATATAATAATTAATATGTGGTGAGAATGAACATGTAAAATGTTAGCTGTAATGAAAGTCATTTAGTACATTTCCTTTAATTTGGTAGAATAAATGGATCTGACATTAATGCATCTAACCTTATTAACACTTGATTATATACAACTTACTGACTCACCATTTAAATACAAAATATTATCCAAATTTAATCAAGGCTACATTATTAACAGTATAAATATAGATGAAAAAATAATAATAAATAAAAATACACATTCAGACATAAATATTAGTAATTAAAATTAAACCATGATGTAAGATCGCTGAAAATGTAAGAAAATAAATTGAAATTTTATTCGTTTACTGTCTGATGCTTTCATTTTTCGCTCAAATGGAAACTACTAGCTGTCCGAAAAGTTTCATTGAAATATTCTATTTGTATACCAGAGAATTTTAATTTATTTTTAAGGGCATGAAGGCATATTAAATGTTCTGTTAAATCCTGATTGTAAGCATATGCTTTTTTAAAGTAGAAACAATACAAACAAATGCACGAAGCCAAGTAACAAATCTATGGTTGTTAATACCTTGATGTAATCTATGGTTTACGTACACAATTATGATGATTTTGAGGCTAAAATTGCAAGTTTATTTCCACTCTATAGAGTTAAGACAAACAGGGTTCAACCGGCAAGGCATAAACACAGGATGCACCTCGCAAGGTATACAGCTTTCTGGTGTGAAAACATGAGAGAATTTAAGGAAATTTCTATACCCAATATCATTTTACCTATTCACACTTCATTTCATAATAGATTTGGTACACTTCGATGAGTGGCTCAATAGGTCAATCTTTGAATGGCAATCTTGACCGCATTTCTCGCAGGTGACTTTTGATTAGATCCATATTTTTATCCAAATAAAAAAATTATCAAATTTTAATTAAATTTTTTTTAAACAAGTTTCTGATTTAAGTTTTTACAATTTTCATTAAATTTTTTATAGGAGTAGATACTTTCCAAGTTTCTAAAATAACGATACATGAAAATACTTTATATGCATCATCAACCATTAGGATTCACATCACTGACATCATCTACCAGTAGGATTCACATCACTGACATCATCTACCAGTAGGTTTAACATCACTGACATCATCTACCAGTAGGTTTAACATCACTGGCATCATCTACAAGTAGGTTTAACATCACTGACATCATCTACCAGTTGGTTTAACAGCATTGACATCATCTATCAGTTGGTTTAACATCATTGACATCATCTACCAGTAAGTTTAACATCACTGACATCATCTACCAGTAATTTTTACATCCCTGACATCAGCTATAAGCTTCGCATCACTGACATCATCTTCATGTAGGAACGCTATTAAGATGGGGCGATTATACCATAATTTTGACATTCGAACTGCCTGACAGGTACGCTGAACTAATATCAAGAAAGTCGTGCGCCTGAAATGCTACGATTTGTGGCCGCCGTCCAGGCATTTTAAATCTTCATTTATTAAATTAACCACACGATCCTTCTAAAAGTTTTATCGCAACTAAAACAAAACGAAAAAAACAAAGAATGGTGCACAACATGCGAACAATAGAGTTTTGAATACAAATTAGAGGATTAAAAGAAAGTTTCAATAAAAAAAAAACAACAACCCACCATCAACAACAACAAAAAAAAACAACAAAAAAACAACAAAACAGCAACAACAACAACAACAAATGGAGTCACGTTACAATATTTTTCTGTTATCTAATTTAATGTTATCGTCTTTTTGTGTGTGTGTTTCACTAATATGCAGCAGGGCGTCGACATAAAATAAGTCAACGCACTGATAAGACTTGAACGTTAGAGTTCATTCTTGTTGTTGACATCTTTATTACTTTTGGCCGTGACCCTATGTGTTTGATAGTCAGAAAAAAATTTCATTAATTAAACTGGCTGCTTTGCCAGTTGCCATCATTTTGTTGATTTAGTTTATTTGTTGTTGTTCTTCACACCATATGTTTGCTCAAGTACTCCGTAAAAACAGTTTAAAAAGAAACAACAAACAAAAAAAAAAAAAAACGAAACAATAATCGCTAATAGTTTTCTGACCATTTGCGTCCATTTCCATGTGACGGCAGTAAAGATAATAACACGTATACAGTTTTAATTAAACTGGCTGCTTTGCCAGTTGCCATCATTTTATTGATTTAGTTTATTTGTTGTTGTTCTTCACACCATATGTTTGCTCAAGTACTCCGAAAAAACAGTTTAAAAAAAAACAACAAACAAAAAAAAAAAAAAACGAAACAATAATCGCTAATAGTTTTCTGACCATTTGCGTCCATTTCCATGTGACGGCAGTAAAGATAATAACACGTATACAGTGTATCAATTTTTTTTTAAATTTAAAGATACTGTTGTGAAATAGATATATGGGCGTGAATGTCATGTATGGAAAAGATATTTAGTGTAGAGATTATAAGTGTAGCTGTATCTATTATGTTTAGATTTTTGTGACGTATTTAGGTCAGGGGAAATGACGTGTCAGTTTTGGGTTTTATTGTGTGGAACGATGGCCGGGCAGAAGCGTTGGATTGCATGAGTTGTTTTTACATTCAATAAAGAGGCGTTTATTCTAAGAATCGATGTTTTTTTGTTTTTAATGATTGTAACCCTAGACAACGAAGCAATCGAAGCTCGGCGCTTCCCGGTTCGTAACAGATACAAATGCGTGTAATGTAAATGTGTTAGAGAAAATTGCAAGAGATCATAAAGGCGTGGATAGATGTTGTTCATTGCCTATGCCAGTGGTTCTCAACCTTCCTAATGCCGCGACCGTTTAACACAGTTCCACATGTTGTGGCGTCCCTGAACCACAAAATTATTTTTGTTGCTACTCCATAACTTTTGAGGATGTGTGTTTTCGGATGGTCTTTGGCGACCCCTGGGGAAAGGGTCCTTCGACCCCCAAAGGGGTCGTGACCCACAGGTTGAGAACCGCTGGCCTATGCTCTGTTGGCAATTAAAAAAAAAAATTAAGTTAGGCTGCTGTAGATGATGAAAGAAGAAATAAAACCAACATCAACGTTGGTTTACACTCTGAAAGGCAACATTTTAAGAACTTAATCGGATCAAAATGCGTCGAAAAACGAAAATAAAAAAATAATAACTTTGCTGATATCCTGGTGCTATTTATATAGAAAAAAGTATGCCTTTTTTTTTTTAAAGAAGATAATTTTATTACATGTTGACCGTAATTTATAGGCAAGAAATGTTAAAATAACATCAAAATTTTATTTTTCTCCAAAACCAATTTGTATTTTATACAATCGCTGAATACCACTCAAATTTTTGTTTCAAGAAATTATCTGTGAAGGTTCTTTATAATATTATTTTCTCTCAAAGTATATTTTAAAAAAACATTTCAGACGTATTTATAATAATTATAAAGTTATAATTTTCAAGTGAATCTTGCAACGCTCACCGCTCTCATTTTGCACATTGATGAGCTCAAATTCGCTGCTTCTCCAACCAGATGCACGCAAAAGAACATCTAGATCAGCAAGGTCTTGACCCCTTGTGGGGGGGGGGGGTCGAACTATTCTTACAGAGGGGTCGCCTAAGACCACCGTCAAACAAATATTTATGAAGTAGAAATGAACGTGACTTTTATGTTTGGGTGGTTAAAGGGTCGCAGCATTAGAAGAGGTGAGAACCACGTATATAGAGGATCAAATTTGATAGCGACCTGGCGGTATATTTGAATAGGAGCCCCAGACGTTGAATGGTCAGTATTTTACACGCGTGGCCTACTTGGGTTGCTCTGATTATTTAAAATGTGTTAACGTATATTTAAGCAACTGAGTCACATATCAGCTGTAATCTTTTAAATTATTTTTTTGTATTACTTTATGCGCGTTTATTGTATTTACGCATCACGTCTTACATGAAGACATTTTTTGTCAAAGTTTCACTCCGTTGGCACTGTTTTGAAGATCTATTTTTGTAAAGCCTTTAACTAAAACTATTTATTTACTAACGAGAAGAAACTCTATTACGTCGCGTCATTCATTCGCATGTTAATTAATTTTTTTTTGTTGAAATGATTGCTTGTTTCCTTTAAAAATCGATTCATTTAATATAATTATTTTAAATTTTGACAGCTTATACCATAGAAAAAAATCATGTAATAAATACACACCAAAAACGATAAAAAAAAAAAAAATCCACATTTATCATCTATTGTTTTTCTTTTGTTATGTTTTTTTTTTCATTAATGCATTACACAACAATTCTTCAAGGATTGAACATAGCCGTCTAAAAATTAAATCGTAATGGAACTTTCTGTTTTCATTTTCTTTTCACTGATGACTTTGTTTGGAATATGAGATATTCTCGCTTGAAAACAGTTTTTAAAAAGTGCAAACAGCCGTCTGCGGGTAACTTCAAAGCTTCTCACTCAACGAACAAATTTTCATTTATTTTAAAAAGTTGTTTATATTTTTAAAAAAATTAATCTTTCTTTCTCTTCCTGGTGTTCATCATACTCTTTTGTTGTTGTCCGATCAAGCTTGTCATGGAGCCGTTCATCCTATCTTTAATGGGGTTTCCTGCAAACGCCTTCGTAATTTTTCTGAACGCGTTCTTCCGGTTTCCTGCTGCAGTTGGTGACCTCAAGTTGGCACGGGTTCCCGTAAGTCACTTTATCCGTGCCACACAGCGGGGCCCAAACAAGTGGGCAGAATTTAGGGCAGTTGTTTGGGATATCTCTGCACTCCCCTGGGTAATCTATCGAAATTCTGTCGTGGGGTGGCCTCTTGCAGTTGGAGGCTCTGAGGTGGCACTCACTGGGGTAGGTCTCACCGTTGCTTCCACAGACTGGGATATGACTCGGAGGACAATAGATGTCGGTGCAGTCTGGCATCGTATAAACTGAGAAAAAACAACGAATGGAGCGTAAATAGGTCCTATAACAGGACATACAACATGACATAAAGCAGGGCTTTGAGTCTTTAGTTCCATATTTAAAATTTTTATTGTATTAAATTTTTTAAGTTTTTAATTTTTCACAAAGTGCAGAACGTGGTAAGATTTGGTGTTCATATCGTATAATCTTACATGCTATAAAGATTTTGTGTTTTTTAAATTAATTTTTAAAAAGTTACAACTTTGAAAAAAAGAGAAAAATTTTAAATATTTTTATCACGAAGAACGGTTCTCAAAAGGAATGCCATAAATTATACATGGTATGATGGAATTCACATATAATTTTTGGTAGATCTTAAGAAAGCAAAAAAAAAAAAAAAAAAACTCAAATAAAAGCCCCCTTGCAAATATCCCTATATGGCGAAGCCAGAGAGGAATCTTCTTCATCGGCCAGGTTATGAAGCGCACGCTTGTGGAACCCTTGAAGGTTTGCAGTCACTAGATGAAGGCGCATGCCAAAAGCCTTAGTGCGGTTTGCGAGCTTATTTGGATTAACATTATTATTTAATTTTTAACAAAAAGAAATGTTTTTTTTTTTGAAGTGTAGATGCCTCTATATTATTGATTTAACGGAATTGCTTTCATAGAACTGACAAGATGGCCATTGAGTTGATAAGAGTTATTGGGGTATTAGAGTGCCCTAAACAAAATGTGTCCTCCTACATGATTTCTCGAAATAATAATGTCACTCCACGGTAACATGCGATGTAGAATAAATTTCAACTGCACAGCCTCTGAGGCATTTCCTGTAAGCGGCGAAAGACTTTTTACTTGGAAATTGTTGAAATAACCCCCCCCCCCCTTCCCCCCAACCCCCTAACTATAATGCCTTCTTTGGTATAGATAATTATTACTATTACCTTGGAAAAAAAGTGTTTTTTTAAATTACCGTGTACTTACCCATCACCACTAATGTGCATAATGCCAGGCATTTTAACAAAATCATGCTAAGAAATTAGTCCTCTTGTCACCAAAGAACACTCTGGATAAAAAAAAAGAAGAATATGTGGGATTTTGGGGTTTTATTTTTTAACTTTCATTTTTAAATCAAAGAAAATAACTATTATGAGCCTGACTTGATTAAACTTAGTCATGACTTATAAGAGAATAGACAAAACAAGTTTTCCTTTTTGTTATAATAAAGTTACCTGCTTTCCTTGTACAAAGCGACCCAAAAGAAGCCATTGGTATTGACCGTATAAATATGTAGGTTGTTTGAAAAGGTGGTACTCTGTTGAACATTATTAACACGATTCAGTCGATGGAGTAGATTAAAAATAATCAACACAAAGCAGAAAAAATGTTCCAAGTGTCCACATTACATTTATAAATAAAATATATCTATTACATAAGGCACTAAGTAGTATGCCAGTCATCGGCATTGCTATTTTTTTCTGGGCGTATTTGGTGTAGAGACATTTTTTGAAGCTGTTGTATTGGTGACATTTTTTAAGACTATGAAAGATGTCGGTATAGAGATTTTTTAGTGAGTGTATGTGGTGCGAAGATTAAATGTGTAGCTATTGCTTTGTATTTTGTGTAGGCAACGTTTTGGGTATGAGAGTTGATGTGTCTGTTATGGTTTTAGTAGTTGGTATGCATGGATAGAGCAGAATAAAGGAGAGCTGCGCTGTTAAGAATGATACTAAGTATTCAACATGGTATTTTAGATGATTGCTTTTAATTGTGAAGAGAGCTGGTAACACCTTACAACAGAACTGAGCCCTCGAACTTCCTATGGAAATTGGAATTCGTAGAATTTTTTTTTAAATTTAAAAATCTTGTTTAAAAAAATAAAAAAATTTAAAAAAGATTTTAAAAATCTTTTTTAAGATTTAAAAAAGTGAGGTTAGTTGTTGTTGTTTTTTTTTTTTCTGGTATCAACTATCCTCCAAAATGTAGGTGACCACCAGATGCTGAAGAAATTGACTCAAAAATCATCCCGTAATGTTTGAGCTCGAAAAAAGCGTAGAGACGCCATATCAAAGAGCAAGTTCCAGCAGGATGTGAATCGAAAGCTGTGAGTCAACAAGAACGCAGAGAAAGCATGCAACAAAATCAACATTATTTAACAAAAGCGCGAGGCAAACGCTAGAAGACAAAGTGCTGCCCGCATGTATCAAAGAGGACGTCTGCTAGATACCCTCGATCCTGCAACACAGCTTTGTTTTCCTAAAACTTAATTAGGGGTGAAACTGAAGGAAGTACTTTTGGCTCGATGGACGCCGAATGTCCCTTTTGCAATGCCAAACATGAAACAAAAATGAATTAATATCGAATTGCTGACACAATGGGACAATTTTATTAGAATAAAAAAACCGAATCATCACTTTATTAAAGGTTACATGAATGATTGTGGTCCGAATTCCAAAACTTTAATGTAAAAAATAAGATCTTGCAACAGTCCATTGGGAGCACAAGTTTACAATTCCGTAACCAGACTTTGAGGAACTTTTTGTTCAGAATCCATGGGCAAATATATGATGATACATCTGCATTACATCCAAGTCAAGGTGAATGCCCAAAGTTTGCGGAACTCTATATTTTGGATTCGGTCCATGCCTTGGCGTGTCGTAATGGAGAACCTTCAAAAATATCTTGCAGACGACATCAGTCCATTCTCTAGAGAATACAGGAACATGCAACAATTAGAACGAGACGAAATTTTAAAGGCAAATAGGGTAGACCGAACGCCAGTTGAATATAGCATGATATTCTTGAGAGAAAGAGAAAATGATGCGTACCCCGGTAAAGACAACTCTCCCATTGCCAGAGGAGAAAATGTTGCCTTTTTCACAGTGCAGATGGTGCACCTCTAAAAATAAGGATAAAAAATTCATGCAAATTGTGGCAATTTTACAAAACATATCCATTCTGAGTAGACTCTGTGACCCAATAAGCCATCCTTTGATAGACTTGGTGACCCAATGTGTCACCCTTTGATAGACTCTATGACCCACATGTGCCATCCTTTGATAGACTCTGTGAACATATGTGTCACCCTTTGGTAGACTCTGTGACCCAATGTGTCACTCTTTGGTTGACACTGTGACCCTATGTGTCACCATTTGGTAGACTCTGTGACCCAATGTTCTGCCATTTGCTTTTCCGATTTGGAGATTCAGGGTGGACAACAAACCCGAAGAAGCTGTTGGTTCAGGAAATGTGTCTCAACTTCATTGGTATCCATACCATTTTGCCATTTGTGATGGAAACTTTAACCAGTTCCTAAACGCACGAAAGTTGACTCACCAATTCTTCGTTGACGATTATTGCAAGACCGAGGCAAAACGCTTGAATTGGTTTCGAAAACATCAAATTGTAATAAGAGCTGAAGACTATGAAGACTATGACGTCCTTCACCGATTTATGAACAACCAAGATGTTGAGGACGTTGAACACTCCTGGAAAAAACTTATACTGCCTTCAACCTTATTAAATTAGGGATTCCAAGAAATATGGCTCAAAATTATCAAGATGCTATGGTCAGGAAATATGGAAAACCTGACTTATGTTTTTACATTTACGTGTAAACCTAAATGGGGAGAAATCAGGGAAAATTTACTTCCTGGTCAGCAACAATGCGACCAGCCTGATGTAGCAGTAAGAGTGTTTGAGTTGAAACGGAAATTGTTTCTACTTGAAGACTAAACGAAACACCAATGATTTGGACGTGTGATAGGCTATGCCTCGCGTGATCGAGCTCCGAAAAACACCGTGGTCTACCACATGCGCACATACTGCTCTTCATAACCCCGGAAGACATGAACGAGTAAAATCCTGCCTGATAGACAGCTTTTGAGATCCATTAAATCCTACTGCACTGTGTGGGGAAAACGGCAAATGTACAAAAATAAATACCAACAAATTACTTTCGTGCCAAGACCAAAAGCAATGTTACTTGATACCAAAAATATCAACGCCAAGATGACGGTAACTTTGTTGAACATGGGGCAAACTAAGTGGATAATAGATAAGGTGGTGCCCTACAATACATTATACCTGCCTGTCAAAAGCAACGCCCACATTAAAGTAAAGATTTGTAGCTCAATTCAAAGCGTTCAATGCCTCTTCAAATACGTTTACGTGGGGCATGCTTTTGAAGTTATTCAATTCGTTACTGTTCCCACAAAAAACAAGAAACTAATATTAAACGAAACAAAGTAAAAAGAACCGATATGTCATTGCAAGTGAAGCATGCTGGAAGCTCAAGGAATACTCATTTCACCAAACTCCGAAAAAAAACACGAGTCACTTGGACTCAATGAAAATGTCCGTTGCGGTAGTGCTATTTCTGCGAGCCCTTGACTTAACAAGAAGTCTTCGCAATGGCACTGGGATGGTCGTGAAGCTAATGATGTGAACGTCATTAACCGTGACATTCTGACCGGATCTATTCAAGGTGCAGGGTATGTAATCCAGCAGTTATTCTATCACGCACGGAACTCGACCGTCCCCTTGCATAAGGACGAAAGCAATTTCTTTTGAGGAAAACACTGGGTATTGTTGGTACTTATTTGCCATGTCCAGCATTCAGCCATGGACAATTTTATTTATGCATTTTCGAGAAAAAAATCCTTTCGGAAAGTCAAAGAAAAGGTTCAACCTGATTCTGGTGGTGTTTGTTGCTGCATCCATGTACTGGCATCTGTGCGACGGTTGGGGGAATGGTGTTGCTAGTCTAACAGCTCCTAGCAGATGCCATGGCAGCCTTGAAGCTTTCGACCGAGGTCGAGTTCACAGCGGCATTGTCCAGGTGGCTCCAAGCGATTATTGTGCGTGAGAAGGATTGTTTACACTGCACTGTGTTGCACCGAGGCATTTGCTGTTGTTTGCTAAGTTGTAGGAACTAATCATCAAGAAAACCCAAAGAAAGAACCCAGAGTTTACACCAAACATGTGGTCTACAAAAAAGTTTCACCCACTAATTAAACTGCATAGCGAGTCGTAGCTTTATCAATACTTTCAAATAAAATCGCTTGCGATCCAGGCATAGAACGGGTACAACAAAGAGTATATGTATATATATTTACTATACTATCTACATATACATATAATGACCCGTGAAGCAATCATTGCACTAATATAATCTTTGAGAAATGCAACATGCCGCCCCGCCCCCCCCCTCCCCCAATCTTTCATGAATAAATCAACACGAATAGTTATTTTCAAATGCAAAGAAAATATAATTACTAAATATGGCAACACCATCATGGTACAATTCTGAGACATGTTCTTTGGTCCACCAAACTTAAAAGTTAAGGAACCACTGTCCTAATAAAAATTTTTTTTTTAAAATGCGATTTCTGCAGATACCCCTAATTACGTTTAATGAATACTATCGTGTTTTAAACAAAAAAAAATATGTAAAAATAAATTAGATTCAGTTGATAACATTTAACATAACTAGTTGTATTTTCCATATTGGACATTTTTCAAAAAAGAAAAACTGACCAACTCACCCAGCCTGTGTTTCGGTCAAGGTTTCGTAGGGACGCGAGCCCGACCATGTCTGTAGGTCGGTATCACACAAGTGTTGCCCAAGGGCTACAGAAAATTAATCAAATCGATGAAGGGACAAGCCAGAAATTATAATTATTGTCGAGGCCAATTTAAGATCTTAATTTAATTGAAAGCCAAAGTCTTACCAACTGTTACGAACTCCTTAAATAAGTCGCTGCTACTTTGATCAATTTTTCTATTTTAAATAATATTTGTAAGTAATACGAAGTTTTAGGAAATATAAACAAACGGAGAAAAGACAACGATTAAAGTCTAAAAAGTAGGACGAGGGTAGGTAATTAATTTCGAATAAAAATGTCTCATCACGTAAGTCACAAGTTTAAATCCGCGGTTCTCAACCTGTGGGTCGCGACCCCTTTTGGGTTTGAACGATCCCAACACAGGGGTCGCCTAAGATCATCTGAAAACACATGTTTAAGAAGTAGCAACAAACATAATTTTATGGTTAGGGGTGACATCAACATGAGAATCTGTGTTAAAAGTTCCCGGCATTTAGAAGGTTGAGAACCACTGGTCGAAATGTTCCTTTCTGAGAAACGAGATTGTGTGTAGTTCAAGGAGACACCCAGTACTGAAGGGATGTAACTATATGTGTTCTATCAAAGCATTACATTTTTTAGTCTTATGGGTTATATGTGTAGCGAAGTAAGAGACCAGAATCGATAACAAATCAATAGAGTGGTGGTCCATAAAAGCCGGTCTACCTTTTCAGTCAGCTTATGTGCCAGGCCGTCTAGATATAGTCAATTTACATACGTGCCAGTCTATTATAGGACAGTGCAACTGTGGTTATTATTTTTCATGCCACCCAGAATTATCGTTCTAAATGAGAAATATAAAAATAACTACAAAGATACCTGTTCACATGACCAAAATTTTTTTTAAAAAATCAGGTTTACAGCAATTTCAGACCTGGGGAGTGGAAGAAATAAAGAAATTTTTACCGGAATTTGCACCAGCCGGTTTCGGCAGCCGGTTTCGGCAGCAAAATCAGAACTTGTACATTGAGCCCGCGGTTATGTAACTTTGAGAATTTGTGAAGACAAAAAAACACTGCAAAGACGAACTATTGCATCGTCCCAACTTCGATAAACTAACAACTCCTTCAGGAGCAAAAATAGCCGATCCTTCATTTTTAAAAGACTGGCTGATGTTGAAGGTTTGTCTTCAGATGTCAAAGATACATATGTTCACAACTTACTTGTGTTGAGCGGTTCAAATGTATTCCAAATTATTTAAAAGCCTAGCTGATTTTAAAGGCAATGTCTCCAGATGTCAGAGATACAGATGTCTACAACTACTTCTTGTTAAACAGGTCAAATGTATACCTAATTATTTAAAATCCCCACTTAATGTTAAAGAGTTGCCAGGCGTGCTACAATCCTAGTATATAAGTATATAGTATAGACATTGACCTACAAAGCATAGGCTATATTAAATGGGCTATTTTAATCAATATATTAACTGAATCGGTAAATATAAAACTACTAACATAACGTTTGACGGTCTACAGACGCTCCAATTCAAAGAGTAACTCAACGAGGAAGACTAAATTATAAGTAGGCAGTATGATCATAACGTAGTTTTTATCATCATCAACAAAATATCCTATCTTTATACATTTATTATCTAATAATGGACGATAATTTAGAATACTTTACTATTTCGGCGTCCCTCCCCCTAAAAGGTTTTCTGCCTGTGATGGCCACCCCCTGACCACTTCCTCACGGCCCTTGCTATGGCTCCATTTGTTGGCCGCCGTGCCTGTGCCCAGACCAAGCTGCGTCTTTCGGCAACCAATAAAAGAAAAGATATGCATTTATTAAAAAAAAACAAAAAACAAACAAACACAGATGGAGAGCGCATTTAATATCATGTCCTGATAAATATATTCGAGTTTTCCTTAACATTTTTTTTTATAACTTGCTGGCTGTCCCAATAAGCTGACATTGAATTTTTCTTAAGGTCTAATCGTTCCTGCTGCAATCCCTCGACGGCGATCCCTCAAACAGTAACTACCTCACTTTGACGATATCCTTCTAAGTAAAAAGTTGACGAAGTTGTTTTGTCTTCAGGGCCGTCACATGGGCCCAACAACTAAAGAGGCTGCAGGGAGTCTCGGATATTTGATTAAGGGGCACACAGATGTGAAATGGTACAAAAAATATTAATGATCAACTTTGAATGCAGCGGGGATCAAACCGAAAAATTCACTTCATTGATAGAACCCCTTTGAAAAACTTTTACATCCTAAATTTTATGAAATGTCTACTGAAACATTTAATTCAAATTTGCGTTTTTAGTAGTTTTTTTTTTTAAGGACGTTAAATATATATCCATCAAAGTTCCTAAAAATCGCGACCTCTGCTGCTGTGAGAGCAACACCACCAAGCGACCAGGTGTTCCTTGGTTGGATTCGCCCCGCCCGCATGGTCAATCGAGTGGAGGGCGGATGGAAGGCTAAGTTACACAGTGGAAGGTCTGTGTTACACAACGAAAGGTTTGAGTTACACAAATAAAGGTTTGAGTTATACAGTAGGATGATTTTGTTACACAACGAAAGGTTTGAGCTAAACAGTGGAAGGTCTGTGTTCCACAGTGGAAGGTCTGTGTTACACAATGAAAGGTTCGAGTTACACAGTGGAAAGTTTCAGTGAACTCGTTTCAAGCTTTAACTTTGATCAATTGACCTGTTTTTTGTTGTTGTTTTTTTTGCTTTCAGAACACACAACTGCGGTCATGCAAGAGCCACACTTTGTTGATTGCCAACACAGAAGAAATGTTCCACGTGCGTTATCCTCATGGCTTCTTTCTATTCTTCCCGTCTATAAAATGTTTTTTTTATTAAAGACATTTATACTTCCTTTATGATCACACCAATTAACAAAAATAATAGTTTTCTTTTGGTCGCGGTGTCCTTGAAAGGCGCGGGGATCCCAGACACGTGCCTCGTTAGCATTTAGGTTAATTCGGCACTGCCTGGATTCATAATTTGTCAAGTATCTTCAGCAGATGGGAGGTTGAAACATTGCCACCGCTAGCGTTTGTCGGATTTTCTCTAGTTACAAATAAAATATTTACGCATGATGGGTCAGAAGTAAATTTTTGGATCATGAGATTTAAAAAAAAATCATTATTGAGAAAAGTTTATAGCTTTCACTGCATTACATTAAAGCAACGGACGTCACGTCTATAGTGAAAACATGCAAGTGAGTACAAATGCCACAGACTTTTCATGGATAAGTAAGTATGGCGGCATAGCTTATAAATATCATGAAGAAACACTGGAAACAGAAATTTCCGATGGCCGAGGTCTATATATCCATTGAACAAGTTTGATCCTTTTGTTCTGTTTGACGCAATCAAAATTTCTAGTCTGGAAAATAAAATATTCATATTTATCGACGAAACCACTTTGTTACAAATTCGCGTGTAATTGCATCTGTAATAGATTTATAGAAATGTATTTTCTCGCTATTTAGATATTTAGGGGAGGATTTTTTGGCATGCGCAGTTAACAGGAAGGAGGTACATAGATATAGTGCAGGGGTCTCATACTCACGGCCTGGGGGCCATTTGCGGCCCACAAGACTATATTTTGCGGCTCGTTACCTGACAAAACTTTTTAGTGTTAATGTGGCCCGCACGTTTTCCCCATTCTCACATCTATAATGTGACCCTCTGCGACGGTTTCAGTCGAATCTCATTGATTAGTCTAATCTAATTCTGATTTTATTTTGTTGGTACAGGTTTGGCCGTTAATTATACTGGTTCAAACCGTTTTAAAATTGGACACTTTTTATTTTATAGAGTTTTATGAGACAAATATGGACTAGCTAGAGTGCAGTTTTTAGAAAAGTTTAAAAATTCAGTTAGTGGGTAATACAAAACTATAATTGTGTAACTCGTTGCAATCTTACATAGTATCAATGAATTCATATTAAAATTGACGCTTGCATTTAAGAGTGATTGAAATTCCAAGCCTGTAAGCTTGGTCCCTTTCAAAATTGGGTTAGTCAAAAAGGCCTGTTCTGGGATAAAAAATTAAAACTTATTATTTCAACGATAGCATCTTCCATCCCATTAATAATTCATTCAAAATTTCCTGCTCCTGCCGTTTGTCCGAACACGTTTAGCCTACGAAGCCTTCGTGGAGAAGGATGGAGGTGGTTGTTCATTTACTAAGTGATCCCAAATGGCTCATTGATCTGGTTTTTCTTGTTGACATTACACATTATACAAAAACTCAACAAGAAGTTATAAGACCAGTGGCATCTTCACAATCTTGCTCATGACAATGTCAGGGCATTCTTTACAAAACTTGTGTTATGTTTCTCAGAGAAACCTCTGCCATTTCCCAAACATGCAAAGTACTCATGGAATCGGTCACACCAATCAGTAGTAGGTACACTGATGCCAATGCCAAGCTACAGGAAGAATTTGATCGCAGGTTCAAAACACACAGAGCCACTATTCAAATTTTTGCTTAAAACTTCTCCTTCATTGTGGAAGACGATGACCCCCCCCCCCCCCCCCCCCCCCCTAAAGTTTTGTGCTTTAAATGGAGCTGATTGATCTTAAGTGCAATTTTGAACTCAAGGCCAAGTTCATGGAAGTGAATGAAAAAACAGACAAGCATGGACAATTAATGAGAGCATTGCCCCCCCCACCTTCCCTGAGATTTCCAGGTGACTAAAGCGTATAATGTGACTTTTTGAGGTACCTACCTGTGTGAAAAGCTCTTTTCCACTATGACCTTTAACAAGTCAAATTTGAGGGTCAAACTTACTGATGAGCATCATCAAGCTATACTGAACGTCTCATTAGCTTCCTCACTCAGGCCAAATGTTGCTCAGCTGTGCAAGAAGAAGCGCTGCCAGGTCGCTGGCAACAAGGAGTAGGAGGGAGACAGTGAAGCCCAGCTCTTGAGAACCCTTATTGTTTTTATTTGCTATTAATAAGGGTTGTGCACATTTTAACGGTTGTACTTTATTGGATTTGTGATTACCTTTTTGTGAAATACTTGATGCGACCAAGTCTCAATCAGACTCTACCTCCTGCGGGCCTAGGATGATTTGATTTTAAACCCCTGCCCTGATATAGTGGAAGGAGAAGGGTCTTTGAGAATGTCCAAAGACAATATAATGGAAAAGTAATAAGATACATCACAACAGATACACCATATTTTTATCTTGTATAACTACAAGAGAGTGAAGATATACGATGTGCTGGTCATTGGTCCCATTTGGATATATATTAGTACTGTGAGTTATTACAGTTCAAGTTATTAAAGTGTTGAACTGAAAAGATGCTCTGCATGGTCTCATTCTGATTTCATGATCATAGTTATTTGTTCAATTACTGTAGGGTAAAAACCAGACCGTAATTAAGTGACAAATAAAACTAGTACATTATCACTCTTCTTTACCCGTCCACCGCCAGACTGAGATCACCTTTGAACACCCGTGGGAATGTGAAACTATGACAGTCAGCCTACCTCGGTTCCTTGACCTCTTAAACTTGTCCGTTACTTTAACGAACGATTCCCAGAAACATTCGATCTTTTCCTGAAGGGCGAACAGCAAGCCGGCATCACACGTCACGCATTGCAGCGAGCTGCTGTCGTCAGCCGAGTCCGCCCTCGTCACTTTAGCCCATCCACCGTGACCAGGGGACTGTTGCCCTTGTCGAAAAACCATCTGCAAGTGGTGCGCCGCGCCCCAAGATTATGTTGACCACGTGAGCTGCTGTGGCTATCTCCACGGTCCCCCATACGTTGTTAGGCGCTGAGGACTTCTCGCATTTTGTATATGGGCATGACCTCCAAGGCTCAGAATTATCTATAACCTGAACAATCCTCCCTGTCCCGTTACTCTTATAGGGCGTTTCAGCATCGGTCGCCAAAAAAGTCCGCTGCCGCCTCTGCGTGCTCGTAAAATCCACATGTATCCGGACGGTCAGATCAACGATAGTCTTAATGTTGTCTGCGAAATCCTCGTCTCGGTAACCCACAGGTAGACGATTTATGTTGAAATCCTGGACACTGACGTAATCCTTGTGATCTGATTTCTTCTTGCAACCCTCGTGATGCTTTGTTATATCAGTCTCGCTATCAGTTATGTACGAGATCTCCACTTCATGCTGGGCTGTTACTTGTCATGTCTAGAATTGTTTCAACGGCTTCATGTGTAAAAAAACAAAACAACTGTATCCAGTTGAGGCGTGGTGCATATAATATTTTGTTTGTTAACAGTCAAATTATTTCTGCATATAATGGTTCTGTTATCGTTGGCGTACTTAGCAAAGTGACAACTGTAATGATTATTTATTTTTACTTTTCTACGAAAATTAAGTTTCGCTGACCAAAGAGACCAACTGATTTTATTATGTTAAACATAAAATACATTTTACTATTTATCAAAATTGTTCTTAATTTATACCGAGAATGATCTAAGCGTAAGATTATATTATATTATCATAATTTAAAATGAGAAAATTATGTTTTAATTTGAAAGTTCCACCAAATTATTGCCATACAAAAAATTTTCTACGGTGTTATTTTCAAAGAAATTAATTTAATTTTCAATTAATTAATTAGAATTATGTTGTTGTTTTTTTAATAAAAGAAAAGTTCCAAGTTCTTTAAAATATTTGTAATTTTAGATTGGTTACATCTAGTTGGTGGAATATTCTGACCAAAAAAAATAAAAAAATTACCGAGTGCACTTGGTACTTATTTAAACAGCCTGCTCTCTACGTGATCTCTTGGTTCTAGAGATTGCTTTGGAAAAAAAAAAACGAAGAACTTTTTACATGACATGTTTACTGACTCCATCCTAACTACAATAAAAAATGGTGCATTCTATACTGAGATCCATTTACATACAAATATTACATTGTAACAGATAATGATATATACAATTTACACTATTTATTAGTTGCTTGAGGTTACATGTCATTGCCCAGAGATGAAGCGTCGTACACAATTTGGCGATGTCCATTTTGGTGAAATTGGAAACAATCCGCCCTGGAGAGAGACGAGGGGGAATTATAGTAAGGCTAACTTGGCTAGAACGTCCAGGTGGTACACGTGAGTTGTCGGCGTCTAATTAAATTAATAATAATTTTTAAAAGTTTCATGAATACCTACAACATTTTTTATCAGTCCGCTAAACAAATATCTTCTAATATTTTTGTGCACCTGTTTATTTCAGTTGCACGTTCGAATATTATGTTTAAAAGTGGTTGGGACATCAGAATATTTAATAGAGTTCATGGGCGTAAAATAAAAAGTTTCCAGGGGCGTAACTTGGGGAAGGGGTGTAGCGAAAATTGGGATTCTTTAATGTGCGTCCTTGAGTTCATGTTTTGTCAGGTAGCTTTAGTAGATGGGAAGTTCACGCATTGCTGTTGCCAATGTTTGCCTGCCTATTTCTAGTGTATATATAATCGAATAAGTCTTCTGTACTGCAACAACCTTGTAACAATGTTTGTTACTTCTAATTAAATTGCAATATTATTCTGTTGTAGTATTTGCCTTGTCTATTCATATTTTACAATCCTCCATGATACTTGACCTCACGAGGCATTAGAATTTAGCATCACGGATTCATTGACGATTATAAAGACACAGCATGAAATAAATCTCTAGAAACTAGAGAAAACATAATTGTCATTTTACTTATTCACTTCACATTCATGATCCACTCGGATCTGTTGGGTAAACATTAAGATGTTGTGTGATGTACATTGAATCTCGGCTAGAGCCTAATGAAATAAACAGACTGTCATTCTAATACTACACTTGCTTCTTCTTATGCGCATCACATATCATATCTAATTAACTTCCTGTTCATCCTAACTTACGAAAAACAATACATTGTCCGAAACGATTGATTATATCAATATTTGATCTGTTGCATGTACCTTTTAACTTAATACACATTAGATGCTATATTATACATAGGCAGACATATTATCGGTATTACTGTAAGATTGTAAATAATTAGCAGCAAATATTGCTGTTTTTTTTTTTTAATAACGATTGCTATAACAAAAAAGTTTCTTTTTTTAGCAAGGTGGAATGGATAACGAGAGGTCTTAATGATAATACGAATTCTATACAATATATATACACATTATGTTACGCCCCAGGAGATCGACTTATGTTTATTGGAAACACAGCAACACGGTCAACAAACCTGAATCTGTTCAAGCGCATCGGGTTCCCCGAGATAATGAATGACATGACCTGACCTGGATGTTTCAGGACTATTCCTGAAAAGTTTAGAAGTGCGAAAGACATTTGCATGTAATTTTATGACATATTTGGTCCACTTTTCTAAAATAGGTCACTCTTTTTTTTTTCCTTTAGATCCGGTGTGGATGTTGTATCAAACGAAATTTACTGATTTCTTTGGGCTAATGATCAGCATTTATTACTCCTTAAGGGAGGGGATGTCAACAGCAGAAGGGAGGGGATGTCAACAACACAAAGGAGGGGATGTCAACAACACAAAGGAGGGGATGTCAACAACACAAAGGAGGGGATGTCAACAACAGAAGGGAAGGGGTATCAACAACAGAAGGGAAAAAAAGATGGAGGTAAGTGATGGACGATAAAAAAAAATAGTGCTATATACAGTCTATAACAATATTAAAATATTTTTAAAGAAAAAAAGTAAACATAATTTTTAAAAAATACGTTTATTTATTGGTTTGTTAGATACATTACAGTAATATATCTCCAATTTAAAAAAAAAATCCAACATTTCACAAAAAAATATTTATATTTAGGCCTAATAAACAAATCTATTGATAAATTAAACAATAAACTACTTATTCCTTAAATTCAATCAAGGAATTTTTTTTTTAGTATATTAAATTCATGGATAATAATAAAAAGATAAATATATGTATCAGAAGTTGTGTTTATCATTTGTGTATAATTGTGATTATCATTGAGTTTCTTTATGGGTTTCTCATGTCCCTAATCAAGTGTTTGTCATGTGTTTAATATAATTAAAAGGGAAGAAGAAATGGACATACGCTTCTAAATCTCTTTTGCGAGTAATAAATAATACGCAATGAACCATTTCTTTGAGGGTAATGTGAAATGAAAAATAAATCAATGAACTCCACCAAAATGTGGTACGTTTATTTAGCACAGCGCTTCATAACTTGAGGCGTACACCACACGGGTTTTGGGGCGATTTGAGGATTATGTGGGTGGTTCAGTTTGAAAAGGGAGGGGGTGGGGGGTGCATTTTTTTAGCCTCCGATAAAGTGAAAAAAAATTTTTTCCAGATAAAGTAAGAAAACATAAATTTAAAGAATTACAGTGTGTTATAGTTTGTCATTTATTGCAAAACAAGTAATAATTTCCCCACTTTGATGTTCATCCCCTAAACAATAAATTGTGAAGCTTGAACAGGCAACGAAACCAACAGTAAAAATCAAAAAACATTGGGACCTCTTTTAATTTAAAAAAAAAAAAAGATCTTCTAATGAGGTCGGGATGGGGTTAATAATTGTTCACCAAAAAAAAAAAAATACACTCGATCCCACGTGAAAGATATTATTAGCTGTTGATATTAATTGCAACCGGTGTTATTCTCAACCTAAGGGTTGTTCCCCTTAGATAATTTATTCATATACTGAACCACTCCAGTTACTGGCTCCGTCCTTCTCCCCCCTGTGAGGATGGAGGTACCAGACGCTTCTTTTGTTGACTCTGTAAACAGGAGCCCCACTGCTTCCACCACACGTGTGTGTGTTGTAACAAAGTGTGGTAAAATTAAATTCTCCTCGTTGGACAGGTACAGTATTCAAAAGTTCTCCACACGTGACGTGCTTTGCACATCCGTGTGGATGAGACACGATCACGCACAGATTTCTCTCGGCTGAATATCTATAATCCCTGTAAACCTTTTCGTGGCGCCCTTTCAAAAAATAAATTTTCTTCCTCAGGCCCTTTACAAGATCCATATCGTGAGAAATGCAAATAAACTCGCACATGTCGCGGTCTTTCGACCACCTGTTGATTTTTAAACCATCCAGTTCAATTGGTTTGCTGTGTGCCTCGTCATCATAGTTTAAAAGACACGTTGTTTTTTTAACATCCTTATTACTGCCGACGACATGGTACGCCGTAACTACGTGTATTTCTCCCCATTGAGTTTTTTGTTTTTGATCTTCCCTTTTTAAATTCCCTTTCACGCTCTTCTCCTTTTCGTGTTGGCATGTCTCGCAGGGACAGCACCGGGATAATGTTCCGGATTTCACTCTTGAGAACACGATCTTACCAGACCCGAGACTAATTTTATGGGTTTCCGGTATTCTTACATGCACCTTTACTACCAGATATCCGATGCCTTTAATTAAGGGCCCAAACTGATTGTCGTGGTTATAAGGGTGGGGTAATATTATGTGCCGAAAAGGCTTAAATCTATGAAAACGTTTATGTCGAGGATTCTTTTCGCATGGCTCATTTCTTAGCCGTTCATCTGGTCCTTTTTGAAAAAGAAAAGGATTCATGCCACATTATAGGCGAGGGTTTAAGGAGAGAAGGAAAAGAACAACAACAAAACATTAATGTTACTTCAGTTTAAAAATGTTAGAGCTCATCAAATGAATTAAAGATTAAACACTGGATGGTAAAATATAATTTCATTTCTAACAAAATGTACTTAATGTATATAGGAATTTAACTGGTATTTGAGATAAAAAAAAATTAAACATAACCAGATTTATTTATTTATTTATTTATTCTAATTTAATAATTGTGTTATTCCATTCTATTTACCTTTAAAGGGATCCTCACTATTTGTGATCCTCACGAATTCGTATACCTAAAACAATTTAGAAATGTGTTACCATTGCTGACGTGGAATTTGATTTTAAAAAAAATCAAAATGGAGGTGGGTTGTTGGGGGTTGGTGTGACCAAACATATTACATGACTACAGCATTACGTCATCAAATAAAAACTGCAACTGTTAACAACGACACTAAATTTGATTAGTAGTTATTATTTACATTCTGTGTCAATTATCTTTTTTTTTTTCATCCGTCACTATTCATGAGGGTTAATTCATTATCATTGTAAGAGGATACATTTACCTTCTATCCCATTAGGGAAAATGAGAAGGGTGTGAAGTGAATGTTTATACAATGAACTTAAAGTTAACATTTTCAAACATTTCCTGATGCTTAGAACTTCATGTGTAGCTATTATATATATTTATACAGTGCTTTAATTTGAATAGTTATGCATTTGGGCAGCTGTTAGGCAAACGTTCATTTCACTTCGGCCTCTGTTCGACAGATGACCAGTTAGGCGTCTGTTAGACAAATGGTCAGGTAGGCTTCTGTCAGACAAACGACCAATTCAGCATCTGTCGAACAGACGGTCAGTTCGTGTCACAACAATTACACGTGCAACCACTTAATTATAAATTCGTAAAATAATTTTAAATGTAATAATTCATAAAATTATTTTAAACCTATATTTTTTCAGCTTACTTTTTTAAAAAATTTTGTTGGTAGTCCACCAAACATTCCCCACATTGACAGTAACTGCGTTGTCCTTGACCTCAGACTTTTCTTCACGTCGACTTTCGGGCCAGTTCTTTAAAAAAAAAAAAAGATAATGAAAAAAAAAAAAATAATATCATTAATTTCTTTTTTTTTAAATAGGCTTGGCAAAAAAATTCAGCCCCCATTTTTTATTATTCTTTTGGTTGCATCGTCTTCAGGACTTAATGTTTGAGTATAACCCATGAATAACAAGGTGGCTCACAGCCAGTGACATTGCTAAGTTTAGTTCAACCCCGAGACGGCCATTGTATATATATATATTTTTTTTGCCGTTCCATCACAACAACAAAAAAAAAAACTCTGTATTTGGCTGAAGATGCCGCCCCTGGATATATTGAAGGAAATTCTGTCCTGGGTTGACCATCCCCTCCACACTACCTTTCCCTGGCCAGAGCTCACAATATAGAGTGAAAGATTGACAATAATTCAAACGAACTTCAGTTTCCATTTTGTTTCCTTTTCATGTAGAAGTGCTGCAAAATGAATTGCAATTCACTTAGTAATGCCTCACCGTCCTCTAAGATTAGCGCCATTCTTAGTATGAGAATAAATTGTTTTTCCCCCTAGCAATCATAATTAAAATGGTGTGCTGTGGCAAACAGTAATTGGGGTGTACATTTTTCGTGAGAAATATGATTGTGTAGCAATAACGCAAATGAAAGTGACCTGTCTCACGGTATATTGTAAATCACTTTTATAAAAAAAAAAAAACCATCACCCAGTGGGAACTGCAAAATAAAGTGGTCGTTGTGTTCATTTCAAACAAACATCTGCCAATACAGGACGGCTGCATGGTGCTTACATTTTTTACTAAATAACCAGAACAAGATGCTACCACGGTTTCCACGCTCATATAAAATTATAGAAATTATTTTGAGGAGATATATTCAAAACATTCAACATCAGGTCCCAATGGATTGATTTTTAAGCGACAAGTCAAAGTATGAAACTTGTGACGGCGTCTGGCTAATTTTTTAATGGAGATCTGTTGGTGCTTAAAAATGAAGCAAATTGAGCTTGTACTAGGAGTGCTGTAAAAAACGCGCCCGAAACTCTACCACGAGATGATTGTCTTGAGCTTTTGGAGCTTACACTTATTTTCTTAGGAAAAGAACCTCCAACTGGTATTAGATTTCGCGCTCCTGGTGCCTACCACCTCGGCCGTTGGATGTCAAAGCTGCTCTATGAGCTGAACAGCTACACGTTTCGAGACCAGTTGCAACTGGCTGACAAGGAGAAGAAGACTTGTCAAGAATTCAGCCTCTGAGTTTAGTTATTATGTGTTAAGCACTGGATGACATTTTCAGATTTCTGATGACGTGTCCTGAAACTTCTGATGACATGTCCAGATACTTCTCATGACTTGTCCAGATACTTATGATGACATGTCCAAATTCTTCTGATGACACGTACTTATACTTCTGATGACATGTCGAAATTCCTCCAATGAAATGTCCAGAGACATCTGATCAAATGTCCAGATAATTCTGGTGACATGTCTAGATACTTCTAATGTTCGATTCGATTAAATAATATCAAAATTATCGCTGCAAATTACAAGTCCACTTCAAATGATTTGTCAAGATTCGGATGTAGTGAAACTAGTCGTCACCCATGGTACTTGAGTCAGAAGTTGAAGCCATTAGCCTTTTTCTCTGACAGACTAGACCAGTATTTCCCAACCTTTTTGTGCCATGCCCACCTAAGTCTTTCTAAAATTTTTATCCCACATGTATCATATACATACTTTTTTATATATTGAAAAATAGGTTTGTTCACTAAAGAAACTTAATTGAGTTTTACAACACTTATAATGAACGCTTATTTTAAATTGAGACTTTTTGAGCTCTTTTTTTAAAATACAAGTTAAATCATAGTAGATGGTTCGTTTTCAAAGGGTAGACGGCTCATTCTTCGAACTGCCCCTCTAAATAATCAAATTGTCCCAGTGTGTGGCTTGGGCCCCATGAAGGGAAACAGTGGACCAGACATTTGAAACAGAGGTAGAAATTGCGCTGGGTTTCATAATAAGTGCTTCGGATGGATAGGTTGATGGAGCAACAATGTATTCTGGCAATGATTGTGCCAACAACAAAACATCAGAAAAGTTTGTTGGTCCATCCTCTGCTCTCTTCTTCAATATGTTAAATCTGTTAACAACCTTGTTAAATGAAGACATTCCAACGCTTCTATAATTAAGAATGTAAAACAGATAAAATTTCCTTTTCGGGTTGTTTAGAGCCACGGGAAGAAAATGATCCAAAAACTTACAAATTGTTGATGTAATGTGTATCAATAAAGTTTGTGATATACCTTGCTTCTATATTCAGGAATATTATCATGAACACTACATATATATCCTGAACTGATATGTTATTTACTTTTAAAGGGGCTACGCCATATAAAAACTTTAAGCCCTTTTAGGCAAGGACCCAGATTTCACTGACACAGCACTGAGACTTCACAGAGGTAGTAATCTTACTTCACTAAGCAATACCCATAATTCACTAAGGCAATATCCATACTTTACCAAGGCACTAATAATATTTCACTGAGGCAGCAGTCATGCTATCCTAAGACAGTTCTAATAATTCAAACGAGGCATAACTAAGAATCAACCGAGGCAGCACTCAGACCCCACATGCTGTCTGCAATTTGTTCATAAAATGCAGGTGCACATAAATAAGATAGACTTTGATTTTTGAAACATCTAAATGAATTATCGTTATTTTAAATCACACGGACCCCATCAATATAAGCACTGCTGGGGCTTATTCAAATAAAATAAAATCAACATCTCAAGTTGTTCCGAGTATAAATAACAGTACATTGCAACCCACTGCAAGACGAGGCTTGCAGTAAGACCTACGGCTTGAAGTCCACTGTGCGAAACCGGCGATCAATATTTCAAATAATCACACACACAACGCCGAGTATGCATAGGCTTGTGAATACAACACAAACAATGCAACGAGTGTGTCGGGCAAATTGTCTTGCTGAGCCAACAAACATTACATTTGAAAACGTAAATAAGAATACATAAAAATCTATAACCTAAGCTCATAAAGATTATATATGTATTGACACGAGGTTATCAGATGAGACTAAGCGCTGACTGCTTCGTATAATACAGAGAGCTGACTATGCATTTCGACTTGTATGAACGTGCAATCGCCAAAACATTTCTAAAAAAAATTATATAATTTTTCCGATATCCGGTAACAGGATTGAGAAAGATATTTTTATTCGGTGCAGGATAACTGAAGTATTTCGAATGTTTCAACAATTAATTTTTTTGTTTGAAACGCATTTTCCGTACATGAAAATATTTTAATTTTCAGAGTAAGTGTGTGTTTAAGTTGATCTTTTGGTTTGTATCCCTGTCAAACTCTTAACGTAAACAAACTCTAGGACTTCTTGATTTAGCATTTTCAGATTCTCTGATATGGCCCAAACAATCACAGTTAGGAAAATTATGTCTGCAAACTTGAACCCTTGTATTGTTATTCCGGAGGTAAGGCAAGGGACAAGTTGTATAAGTAAAATAATTCAAGTGAAGGACACGTCAACGTCTCACTAAAAAAAAAAGTGTCATTCATTGGCTCATGGTTCGGGACCCCAAAATAGGATCACACATGATGTAGTGTTGCAACGCATGCTGTAACAGTACACAGTGCAATTATTTAACAATGAAAATGTTTTCACCCAAGAGTAGTGTTTCAATTTTTCATTATGTCTCAAATACTACCATTTGGAATTGAACATCATTTTCGGAGTTTATTTTCAACACTTGCTATATATTTTTTTTCCAAACTATAAATTAAAAAAAACAAAACAACATGGCACAATCATACAGATTGTATAAAATATGACAGGATTTAAGTTTTGGCTTATTAGCTGAACAATGCTTAACAAAGGACTGAAAACCATATAGAAAGAAACAACGTTGTCAGAGCTAGTAATATAAAAAATATTCAATTTAACTCAATTATTAATTTGATATAAATATACAAAATAAAAAATTAAGAAAAAATATTTTTAAAAAAGGTAGAGGGATAGTGATACATGCCACGGAATCCACACCACGCGGGGTAAACAAAAACTAGGTCAACACACATGCTATAATTATAGTTTCAAAAATCATTCTAAGAAAAAGCTTTGAAGACAAGTCCCACTTGAATTTGTTCTTAAGACAAGTATACACTACACTTACTGTAAGTGAGGACATGTAACTAAGTGTTACAAAAGACATAACAAATTACCTGGCACTAACTTTAAAATAGGGCATGCACTTAACTGTAAACCAGGGCAGGCATATCACTTACTGTGTCCGAGGACGTGTAACTAAATATCACAGAAGCCATAGCACAAACTGCAACATATTCCTTGGCACTAACTTTAACATAGAACGTGCACGTAACTGTAACCTAGGGCAAGTCACTTACTGTATCAGAGGATAAGTAGCAAAGTGCTACAGAAGACTTAGCACTTATTGTAACACATTCCCTGGCACTAACTTTAACATAGAACGTGCACGTAACTGTAACCTAAGGCAAGTCCCTTACTGTGTCAGAGGATAAGTAACAAAGTGCTACAGAAGACTTAGCACTTATTGTAACACATTCCATGGCACTAACTTTAACATAGAACGTGCACGTAACTGTAACCTAGGGCAAGTCACTTACTGTGTCAGAGGACAAGTGACAAAGTGTTACAGAAGCCATAGCACTAATATATTCTCTGGCACTAACTTTAACAAAGGCCATGCAGCTAAATGTACCCTAGGGCATGTCACTTACTGTGTTGTGTCATAGGACATGTAAGTAACCCTAACAGAGGCAACGACACTAAATGTAACAGAGTTATTGAAACCTTTCCTTTTTAAATAGTTTCATTACTTTAAAAAAATAGTTTTTTTTTTAAAAAATAATAATTTTGCGTAGATTCGAAATCATCATTTTGATTGTTATAGACTGTAATATTGCTGATACTAGTCATAGTCTTATCTAATTCTGGTATACTACATTTTTTTAAAAAAAGTAGTAATCTTAAACAAAGCTGCATATTTTTGACGTACGCTTAGATACATCTAAAAGGGAATGATGGGGGTATTATCATTAAAGTGGTTTTATTACAGCCAAGGGCTGGGCTCACAGCACTACGCATACACATTTTAGCAAAAATTAGTTCATTTGATGGATGGCTGATTAAAAAAATTTATATTTATACGAGTTGCAAAAAGTAATTTAATAAAATAACTGTAGATCTAAAAAAAAGATACATATACATTTTAAAATTCTATTAATTTAAACTGACACATTGCATTGCCCCCAGTAAAACCTCATCATGACTGGAAGCATACATGGCTCCATCTAACAACATGCTCTCGCTTCTACATCGAAACAACGATTCTTTAATGTTATATTTTCTACTGAAATAGATTAATTAATTTTTTTTCTTAGTTAACAAAAATGAAACAACAAAAGCAAATGGTTTTGTTTACGCTTAAGTTGTTGACATTAAGTTACCGCTCAATATCCTTTGATTAATCCTCGTACAAATGTAACGCATTTATATACATTGAAAATAAAGAGTAAACATAATCAAGTTACAGTTAAAACGTATTTCAATAAAACAATAAAGATAAATAAATAAATAAAAATGTAGACATCATAAAATAAATGTATAAATATGTGTCAACTTAATGTGTGTTTGTTGCAAAAGTAACACTTGCTGTATTTACTCTTGGTACTCTTGAATATATATCTTTTCATTAGCTCTTCTTAGGTGTTAGATTTGATAGCACTGCATTAGGTAGTCCTTGACTATTTAGCCCCTTACAATTACGATTTATATTAGATGGCTTTTCATCGTTGCCCCTTCGTCAGTCAGCTCCTCATTAGTAACCACATCGATAGGGAGCACTTGATTTTGCCTCCTTTTCCACACTAAAGAGCTTCCTCCGTTTTTATCATTAAGTGGATTGGCAAACTTATGTGGGGGCAATATCCATATGCTTTTTCTCATTAACGAGTAAACCGGTGCCCCGCTGCATCCCGGGCAAGTAGGGCAGTCGTAGTGAAGCCTGTAGAAAATTTTTTCATCATTGGTCATTTCATCCTCCTCAATTGAGGTGATGCGTCCACATGAAACGTGCTTGGAACACCCATGTGGGTGAGACACAATCAGAGCAAGATTACGTTCGGGCACATATTTATACAGCCAATACAGCTGCTCCTGCAAGCTACCAAACATTTTAATCTTATTTTTAAGTTCCTCAGTAAGTTTTAAGTCATGTGTATAGCATTTTATTGCAGTAAGGTCATCGTCTTTGTTGTGACCGTACACTTTATACCCCGGTAGCTCTATACTTTGTGAAGTATTGAAATCTAATATGCATTTAGCACTTCGGGCTTCAACATCGTCCCACACAACATGCGCGACAGATCTAACGGTAATTTCCCCCCACACAGCAACTGGTTTCTCTTTACATAAATCACATGGACAATTTTCTGTTTTGAAGTCAGTAAGCTTTGCAAATGTAACGTATCCACTCCCGCCATCAAGTTCATGCTCATCTTCTTCCACAGGTGGTCGTGCTGCACTTACTTCACTCACGGCTATCTTTACTACAATATCACCAAGAGATTTGACAAGGGCATTGAATTTATCTTCTTGACTGTAAGGCTCAGGGAGAAATGAATTAGAAAACTCATCGATTTTGAAAAAACATTCGTGTTTAGGATTTTTTTTGCAGTCCCAATCTTTCAGCTCTTTGATATCGTTTTTACTCATTGTAAACTTTGTTATCTTTAAAACAACACTCGAGATTAAATCACTAAAACCCAACAACAGTTGAATGAAAACTTTCTTAAGCGCTCAGACTTGGGTTAGTTAATCTTTTTCTAGATTTCAAACTGAAGAAAAAAACAAAAACAAATACAAATATATAACATCGTTAAGTGTAACCACACTAAACAAGTCTAAGTTTTTTAACAAAATAAATACTTATTTGTAGCAATGCGATGTTGTTGGTCATATGTAATGAGATATCAGTAAATTTGCAAAGTGATTTTTGATAGAAGTGTACTTGAGATTATGCGGGGTGGAATAAAAGCATTTCAGACCATAGGAAATGCCTGAATCCGGAGACCCGAATGGTCCAAGAAAAGTGTTTGGGATGTGAAAAGGTTTCACTCGTCGGTAATTTTTGTGTTATTTTTGTATTCTGTCGGAATAGACCGAGACTTAACTTTCACATCAGAACGTTAAAAGAAAACAATCATAAGATGGACACACCACGGAGCGTTCATGCGCGGGGACGTACGACCATTCAGACATGAGTCCGATTTTTAAAAAAGGGTTATTGCCTTTAAACACAATGTAACCAAAATGCTATGAGAGAAACATTCGATTATTTCAATACACTATATAAGAATGAGCTGCGCTGACCGTAACGCCAAAGAACCAAAACACGAGACTGAAAATAAAGATTTATTTTTGTAGAACCATATTAAGATTTAATAGATGTCTGAAAGTTTTAATATTAAAATAATCCCATTTGGTTTTTTTTTTAAATATGTTAGAGGATATTTGGGAACTAATTTAAATTTGAAGATGAAAATAAAGAAATTTTTGTTAAAAAATGAGTCGTAACTTGTAAAATGTATCGGTTAAAAGTGTAATATATTATGTTGATATTTTATATATTTATATGTTTATTGTACCCCCTTTTTAAACGCCAAATAAAAATACGTAGGGCTCGGGAGTCTCCAGAAATAAATTTTAAAAAAATTGTGTATCGTTTCTTCTAGATATTATCAACTAATATTTAACGACCATTACTTATTAAACTAATGGCAAGTTCAAAACAACTATCCGCATTGGCTACAGACACAAATACTTGCACATGATCTTGGAAAAATACAAGAGAACTCCTTTCAAAGAAAAAAGCCAAGATTCTGTTCAAAATTACCACTCAGTAATCAAGAACTCAAAAGTTATACATACCATTCAATTATTGGTCGAAAGTTTTGCTACAGACTAATTTTAATGAAAAACGATAAACTCAAACAAGTATCGTCAAATCTGAAAAAGATATGTTTAATGTGAATGAAAAAAATACTAATTTCCATTTCTTTGGATCATAAAATATCTTATCTTATATTACCTTATCTTACTTTATTCTACATGATCATAAATTTGTGTGTGTGTGTGTGGGGGGGGGGAGGGGGAATCGGGGGTTTTTCTTTTGATGGGAGGTCAAGATTTAGTCACACTTTAATTATTAGATATTCGAGCAGCTATAGAACATAGCTTTATTCATTTTTTTTGTTTCATAAAATATCTTATCTTATATTACCTTATCTTACTTTATTTTACATGATCATAAATTTGTGTGTGTGTGTGTGGGGGGGGGAGGGGGAATCTGGGGTTTTTCTTTTGATGGGAGGTCAAGATTTAGTCACACTTTAATTATTAGATATTCGAGCAGCTATAGAACATAGCTTTATTCACCTAAGAATGGTTTAATACAATTTTGAGTTCTGTGTCATAAATAAATGTATAATGAGTTCAATTTTAGCTCTGGTATGTGGTGATAATGCATATGGCAGGCCAGTTATGTTGGGTGTATGGCGAAATAACTTCATAAAATTGAGTATAGGATTTTATGATAATGTGTATCAGTTTACTAAATATAATTTTTGACTTTTGGGATCAACTCACCTTTTCTTAAGAAAGATCTTATTACATTGAACTTTCTGATCAGTTAGATTTCAGCATAGTACACACTCCAAAAAGTTAAATGTGTGCACAGTATAAACTATGATAAGAAGACTTGAGATGAGTTCACCTTTTGGTAAAAGTTAAATTTCAGAACAGTTAAGACCTCTGTAAGTTTGATCTCAGCACAGATCGATAGTAAATGGTACAGCATCTACGTGTGGCCAGCACACAGGAAGACCACATTGCTAATACGTGAATAACATTAGAACTTTTTGATATAAAATTAGACATCAAAGTATAGGCGTTTTTTCAGACATAAGTTAGGCTGCTAATGGTCATAAGAATACAGACTATGATGAAATTACGAAAATCAGCGAAGTTATATAATTCTAAATGAAATACTAGAATAAACAAACTTTTACAGGCATACATATAATATGCTTTATTTTCAAGTATAAAAATAACTTTTAAATAAAAATAAAATAAACAGTAATTTGATCACACATAAAAAAAAATATTAAAAACTAGAGTATAGTAAAAATAAATAAATTTTTTGACCAGTCCGTCAAATGTAAATATCACATGACATTAATGTCGCATTTTATAAGTTCCGTTATTGAACCTTAAGCCGAATCGGTAAAGTTATATGCACAACTGTTATTGGTTTATAATTCCTATTATGGAAACGCTGCAACAATTTTAAACTCGAAGATAAAATGAAAAACATTACCGTAATAACTGACTGTTTTACTTCTTGAGACAATACTGTGGCGTGTTTCTACTCGTGCGGCACGTTATGAACAGTTCTGAGCGCGATGCTTTTTGTGACTGCTACTCTTCACAGTTATTAGAGGGTCGCCTCTTTGCTTGTTGCTGGTTTCTTTTGTGAATATCGGTCCCTTTTGGTTGTGAGACATGGGTCGGTAGTGACAAGGGGGGGGGGGGGAATCAATGTCAAATAAACATGTCTGGTCACGTCGGTCAGCAGTCTGAAAGTTCGTAATTTCTGACAACCGAGATTTTGTGTAGCGCAAGGTGACATTCAGTGCCGAATCGATCAAGCTCTATGTGTGTTCACACAACTATGTGGCTTTGGCGTCTTGCGTGTCATGTGTGTAGCGAAGTAAGAGAACAGTGCCAAAGCTTACCACTAGAGGGAAGGTCCTTAAACGAAAGTCTAGCTATAAAATCAATATAGGCACCAGCTAGTACAGCATTATATTTAGCTTATAAACCAGTCAGGTTAGTTAATGTCAATTTACGTACCCGCCAGTCTAGGAATAGGACACTACAACTGGGGATATTAGTTTTCTTGCCACGAAGAATTAGTGCTCTAACTGGCAAGTGACAAGGGAATACAAAGATGGCAATTCACATGAAGAAAACAGCAGGTTTACAACCACTTCAGACCTGGCGAGTGGAAGAATTATAGAAGTTTTTAGAGGAATTGTACAAGCCGGTTTCGGGAACCAAAGCAGAATTTGTAGATCTGAGCCCGCGGTCGTGTAGCGTTGAGAATTGGTGAAGAAAGAAATCACGAAGACGAACTACTGCGTCATCCCAACTTCGATAAACTGATAACTCCTTCAGGATAGAAAATAGCCGATCCTGCATTTTTGAAAGACTTGCTGATGTTGGAGGCAGTGCCTTCAGATGTAAAAGATACAGATGTCTACAGCTACTTTGTGTTGAAGGGGTAAAAAGTTATAACTTATTGCTTAAAAGTCACTCTTTAATTTTAAAGAGCTGCTAAAAGTGTTATAATGCTAATATTAAAGTATTGACCTACTATGCCTAGACTTTATTAAATAGGCTTTTATAAATAATACGATAACTGAATTAGTAAAGATTAAATGCTACCCTAAAATTTGACATTCTACAGACTCTCAAATTCAAAACTGTAACTAAACTGTGAAAGACTGACTATGAAAGCTGCCCGTATAATTATAATGTAGTTTTATCATTATCAACAAAAAATAGCCTCTCATTATACATTTCTTAATTAATAAAAGTTAAGCTCTGGGTGGCCGAGTTGTCTAAACTGAGTCACAGACAAGCTAAAACTCAAGTCGTATGCAAAGTACGATAAATAATAATAATAATAACGAATACTTGCCATCATTGTAAAAATTATTCTTAAACTGAAGTTCCTTAAATTTCCCTTGCCATTGTGATACATTACACACCACTGATAACAGAGAGATGGGAGCATCACAACTCATACAGGGCAGAACTATGTTCCTAGAAGGACATGTGCACAGAATTGTTTTTCATCCTATGAGGTATAGTTCAAATTGATTATCATCCTATCAGGTGTAGTTGACATTGCTTATTATTCTATCAGGTATATTTGGCATCGCTTTTCATCCTATCATGTATAGATGACATTGTATAGTTCCAATACTTTATAAAATATATCACACTGCCAAAGAAAATAAAACAGTGACATTTTTTGTTTAACAAATTTTGAACAAGAAACAGTTTTTAAAAAAGGATATTTTTCAGATGTAGACGTCATTTGATAAATTTTCCTCCAACTTTTCCCAGAGATGATTGTGACCATTGCTTTATCCAAGCCAAAGTTGAGCCTTCTTTGACAAGTCAAGAGGTCTGATCACACTACATAGATCAGCTTAAGCAAAGTCTCTGTACATATACAGGGTGGGCCAATAAAAGTTAGAACATCTCGTAGCATTTGAGTTATTTCAAAATATAATTTAATATAATTATAATTCTTTATGGAATTTTTTTTTGAAAATATTTAGCTAATCAGAAATCATGTTCAATGTGTCCTCCTTGATTCTCAACTATTGAAGCTAGTATGGGTATAGTTAAACTAAATTTGATGTGATTAAATCACATTTTACGAGATGTTCTCACATTTATTGGCCCCACCCTGTATATTGTGCACAGTTTACTTGCACTGAAGGGTGCGCTATTCTGATCTTTAGTATATGTAAAATATATTAGTGAGCTGTCTTCTTTCAGTTTTATCATTGTTAATTCTACTAACGCTACTGATTCTTTGGGAGTTGTTTTAAAAAAGAAACAATTTTTTCATCTTGTTCCTTTTTCTTTCATTAATATGCCATCAATATCCAGATTTAAAGAAACCAGTTATGTTTATGATTCTACTTTTTTTACAAATTGTGGGAGTCCATAAATGGAGTTTCCTTGTTTAGGTTAACACTTGATTGTTACAGTTTCATGAAAAAAATTATTTTAAACAAATATTTTACAAAGAATGTGGACCTTGTTATCATGTAGATGCCGCTCTCTAAGTTGCCTCACACCTTTGTGAAAAGAAGAAGAAACGCCCTACATCTTGCACTTCGCAACCATGCACATCTAGCGTTAGAAAGCGTAAAAGGCTTATCAGCCCAAAGAAAGTGTCATTGGACCACTTCGGCCGTCTAAGCAACTATTAATTAGTTCTTCCCCATTTTTTTAAATTCCTCGCCTACGTCGCAAGTGCTCCTCGGTGGAGCCTAAATCAGGATATGCATTAACAACTGCACAGTCCTCAGAGTCACATGAGAAAGATTTGGTATTGTCTGATATAGATTACAGTTTTAAATACTCTACAGACCGGAAAACGAAAATCTGCAAGGACATTTTTGAAGAGTATTAGCTCAGTTTTTCAAGTTTAGATGTATCTATAGAGAAACTAGAGGACAAGCAAGCAATCCCCCGTGGAGAGCTATTTGCCAGGGTCGACTGACTAACTACCGTTTTATTTGTATTTACGGATTTTATATTTAGCTTAAAGAAAAGGGCTTTGAAAATATCTTCAAGGCTAAACATGCTCAGCTATATATGGACACAAATATAACCATGAAATTTAAATATAAGTTATACAGGGTGTTGCGCTAGGCGTCTTCTTTACTTCGTGAAGCTCGTGCTTGAACTCTGGATCACCCCAAGTTTGGCGACGATGGGTGGGGTTTAATTACAAATTGTCTCCATTGATCTTGACTACAGGAAAACACAGTCTATAATCTTTAGAATTAGAATTCTTGAGAACTTACTAGACGGGTCTAGGCACAGTTAGCATGCGTGACCCCTTTCTGGAAAAGTATCTAAAAAAAAGACTATAAATAAGCCGATCGACACAGGGAGCTGAGTGCAGATATAAACTGCGAGACAAAGAGAGAGACAGAGTTTTGCGATTACGATATTTTATTGATCGCAACCTGATGTATTAATATTTACTGTGTGTGTATGTATGTGTATGTGTGTGTGTGTGTTTGTGTGTGTGTGTGTGTGTGTGTGTGTGTGTGTGTGCATCTTTGTAAACTTTGTATCGGTACCAGTTCAATGCTGTACTGTAAGTGAATAGCCTTAGTTTTATTCCCTTTGCTTTTGTAATTGTTCAAATTAGCCCAATAAATCATTATTTTTAATTAGCCCTAGTTTTGGTATCGTTTTTTATTACTGTATTTAATCAATAGTATCGTCCTGGGTTGTGTACTGTTTGTCAACGAGCCATTTACATCAAATTAAGAGATTAAATTCTCTACACTTAACAACACGTAACAAAGGAAATGCCAACAAAATTAATTTAAAAAAAAAAAGACAAATTGAGTAGATTTGAGTCTTGAGTAGATTTGAGTCTTTAGTAGATTTGAGTCTTGGAGTAGATTTGAGTCTTGAGTAGATTTGAGTCTTGAGTAGATTTGAGTCTTGAGGATTTGAGTCTTGAGTAGATTTGAGTCTTGAGTAGATTTGATTCTTGAGTAGATTTGATTCTTGAGTAGATTTGAATCTTGAGTAGATCAATCCTGTTTGTGGCAGAAACGTAAAGGCCTGTGGTGCCAAATATCAAAGGGAACAACGGCCAACTCTGAAAATATCCTTTTCCCGAAGAAACAATCATCCTCGACCAGGCGACAACGCCCGTTGTAACTCGGATGTCACGATAGTCACGATCCCGTTTGGTGACTCTGACGTCATGCGACTCATGGTAAGCGTTGCGAGTCGGACGGGCATTTTGGTGTACCTTCATCGCGAACATAAAAACAAGACAGCACTTAGCGAAGAGGGTAAAAGCAATTTATAGGTATACATTTCAACCACCCGGAGAGGAATATCCAAAGATGTGAATGGTTTTCTTGTTGTATTAACCATATTAGAAAGAGTACTTAATTAAAACGGTAAGTCTTTGAAAAGGAATAGAGTGACGGCCAATAAGATAAACTAATAGGAATAGTAATAAAATTAATTAAAAAATCAACAACACTTTAAAAAAAAAGTTGTTTCAATAACAAAACGAATAATTTTAATAGTTATAAGTAATTCATTTTTATTCTTCAAAACAATAACAAACACTTTTAAAAAAAATAAACAAATTAATAAATCCTTCGATAAACAGTTGGCTATAAGTAAACGAATTCGCATACCTAACATATTTGTTACCCGGGCTAAAGATTGTTTTGATATAAAGTATGCGGGGTGACGAAAAGTAGTACACCACTAAGTGTGATCATAAGTATCTGCGATCAATGAATGTTTGGAAATTAAAGTCCTCCAACAATGTTGTTAGTTGGCCGTGTGAGTTTTTTTCTGTGTATCATCTTCTTCTATATATTAAGGGCCCACGATCAATTTATTGATCATTTCGGCTTCTATGCATGTAGAGGGGATTTGCAATGTTTCTGTGCCTGGTGTTTGTGTCGATATTTCACTGATTGCAAGTGCCACTTTGTGAGTGATTCATGCACTGGGGGTTGAAAGGCTTGAGACAATAGACAAAAATTTTCTAGTGTTATAACACTATATCCACATACACATATGTTTTGATAAGTCTATTTGTTCGGTGTTAAATGAGAAGCACTGCATTCTTGCGCCAGCTGTTAATACTGAAGTTCAGCAGGCTACCAATTTTCGAGCTGTAAAATGATATATTTAAAAAAAATTATGATGAATAGCTGGAGCTCTCTGTACAACAGCGTGAAAAAATACAACTCCTCAAAGGTGAACTAATTAGTGTGTAAGATTTAGTATAAAAAAAAAGCCTCGCTAGTTACAGTTACAATTTCTAATTGGTATTCTTAATGTTAACACTGAAGTTCAGATTTTATTTTTTTTTTTATTACGGAAATCTATTCATTTCTTTTCCTGGAGACATCAATATGTCTAGGCCTGTATGTAAGTATATTAATTCTTGAATATGGGAATATTAATTTCTTAAATTAGAAATAAATAAGATGTAATAAAATTCCGAGACGTTAAAACAAAAGGGATTCTTATATGCTGCGTCATTTGAATGCGTTTTTCGACAACGATCTTGAGGAGATGGGAAAGCTACATGCACTGCCGTCCGCATTGCTTGGCTGGATTATTTGTGGCATGTTAATATCTTTGTGGGGTTTGGTGGTCCGTCGTGAATGGGCTTCTTCCTTTGTGAGTAGTGTTCGAAGACGTAGTGTCCGTCCATTTATGTGTCCGTCAATTTATACGGAACTTTTAACAAACACAAGGAAAGTGAATGTTAAATATCAGTTATTTATAGATTGGGTTATATTTTTAAATATTTATTTTCTTTTGCGTTCAGTTCTATTCTTGACAACTTCATATTTAAGCAAATCAAATTATATATTTTCTCACCCAATATAAATCATCAAACAAGATGCATTATATGAGCTATAGATTAAAAAAAATACATACATATTATTTACATGATTTTAAAGAAATTAAAAGATTATACACATTACTTAAATGCCTGTTAAAGTCACTGGACTAAGATGTTAGATTGAATGTTGCAATATCTCAACATAAGATTAGTGTTCAATCAGGTGAAACGTAGCGGTATGGTCTTGAAGATTTAATCTGTTTGAAGATTTGGTTCTTTGAGTGAACAATGCGTAACAACGGACTGAAACCGGTATACAATGAGAAACTATAACAAAGCCAGTGATACTAACAATATTTAATTTAATTATATTATTAAAAAATCCAAAAAAATTGTATTATAGAAACAAAAACAAACAAAGAAATTATATCAAATGACAGCACAGCAAGTATAAAAGGTGCAATCCTCAAAAATAAAATTATTAATTTACACACATACACACAATTAGGTAGCGTCTCTTATAGCAAAAAATATTTACCCCTCACTTATAGCAAAAATATTTACACCTCACTCTCTCTTGATCTGTCTCGATATGTCTCTGTGTTAAGAAACCTGGTGGTCTTTATATAGGGATTCAATGAGAATGATCTAGTACAGAAATAGTAGAAATTGCGTCGCCCCATGGCATTCTTTATAACAATTGGAATGCATTTGAACATCAACAACCTCTTCAAAACTAATGGGATAGAGGGTAAAGGATGACACAGCATATTCAACCTGTGAAATCAGTATCATGAACATAATAATCGAGACAAGGGATGGTGGTTAAAAAAAGCTCTATTCGGAAGTAAAAAAAAAATATTAGGCCAACACATATGCTATAATATAACAGAGGTAATAAAATAACGTACCTGTTTCATAAAAGTGTGCACTATATGTCATAGTTTTGCAAGCTCCCATAAATAAACACACATACCGAATCTAATCAACAAGTTCAGCAGATGGATTGAACAAAAACAACATAAACCCTTGCATAATAGATAGAGATGATCACAGATGACTAAACACATTATTTTTTGGGGGTATTTATCTAACATATAATCTTTATTCTTTTCAAAAGTGTTTATTGCCAGTTTCAAAATTTAGGTTAAATCTTTCTTGTTTTATTCAGTCTCCCGTAATTTTCCAGAGATATTTAAAGAGCTCGTGTCTTTAGATATTATCACCTTATGTTACGCTTTTCATGGCCAAATTAATTTCCTTATTTTCCTTATCGTAACTTCCAAATTAATTCTTATTTAGACATTTTTATTCTTTTCATTTATTCAGTTGTTTTATTACTTAGTGGTTGGGTTTGTTTAATTTTTAATGGGATGTGGGTGTTACGCACTGGCTTCTAATATGAGAAATTAATCTCCTATTTTAATTTGATTAGCTTGTTCTAAGCAGTGCCTAACAAAGGACGATACCATAGAGTCAACAATATTAAAGATGCGACACCTAAAACAGTTGCTAGTTACAATTAATATGCTATAATTTAGTAGTAATGCAATAACAACAAAAAATATCAATACAAAATCATTAACTTATAGTATGGTAGATCTTGTACCGGTACACAGTTAACAGAGTTAGTTTAATATGCCAATGAATAATTATGAAATGGGAAATAAACACATATGAGCACACAAATACACAAAGAATAATACACGCCTCGTAAAGTTAATAATATCTATCTGAATCTCCGTCTCTCCCTGTGCTTGTCAATCCTTTATATATATATGGGTCCACCGACGCGTAAGCCCTGCCTTCAAGAAGCTACTCAGCCTGTGTTTACATTTCTAGAACAATCGCAAACACTCTACAAAATACTAGGAGACAGTCTAACTGTGTTTAATTGGGAAAGACGGTAGTAAATAAGATACATCAAACTAATAGGCAACGCCCATCTATGGACGTAGCGTGTGCTAGGGTTCAAGCAAAGTTCACGATAGGGGAAATCGTGTAAAACGTTATACATAACACCTCCCCTCTTAAAAGAAAAAAAAATCATTATTAAAAAATGGAATTCTTTTTCCGTTGAAAATTACAGAAAGTATATTTCTTCCTTTCAAAATATTGGACTAAAGCTTCTTCACAGCTTATAAACAATAACATAAGTTTTATGTTCAGTGAAAATTAATTTCTGGAAAAAGTATCTGCAATGACATTATCTTTGCCTTTAATAAGTTTGATGTCCAAAATTATATTCGTGTAAAAATAGACTCCATCTTAACAATCTTTGATTTTTGGAGACCATCTTATTTAAAAATGTTAAGGGATTGTGATCAGTAAAAACAAGTACTGGATGTAAAGAACAACTGACATAAAAATCAAATTGTTGGAGAGCAAAAATTAAACCTAAACATTCTTTTTTCTACTGTGGAATCGTTTTTTCTGAAGGGAGTTAAATTTCTTTGGGAAATAAGAGACATGATGATCTACACTGAGGTCATCTTCTTGAAACAGAACTGCACCAATGCCAACATCACTGGCATCTACAGCTAATTTAAACTGTTTGTTAAAGTCGGGTGCAATGAAAACAAGAGCATCAGCAAGTATATTTTTAATGTTTTCGAATGCTTCCTGACAAGCATCTGGCCAATGAAATTTTGCATTTTTCTTTAACATATTACTTAAAGGAGAAGCAACAACTGAGAAAATTTTGCAAAATTTTCTATAGTAACCTGCCATTCCCAAAAATTCATTAACTTTTTTCTAGTAGGGGGTGGTGGAAATGATTACAATAGCATTTATCTTAGCTTGAACAACCTTTACATGACATTGACCCACTATGTGACCTAAATAATCCACAGTTACATGAAAAAATTCACACTTATTTAAATTTACAATCACAAAGATATGCACAAAGCTATGAACTAATATATGCATAAAGAAATGCACAAAGATTTGCACAAAGATTCGTACGGAGATATGCACAAAGATATGTACACAAAATATGAATAAGGATATGCCCAAACTTACATAAGAGATACGCACAAAGATACGCACAAAAATTGCAACTTCGTTTCTTAATCCTGCATACTTTCCCAGACAACATTGCTCTCACTGATATTTCCCTCTGCACGTGTAACATAAGAGCTGTGCGAAGGAAGGTACCAAATTTTCCTCTGCGAGATCGTATATATAGGGGCTCCACTGCTGGCAGGGCAAGTAATCGCGTCATAAGACAGCCGAATTAAGGTTCTTCGTCCATCCAGGTCTTTGACGCTGCTCTTGCTTTTTAGTCTTCCAAACGAGACGTGCTTGACACACCCGTGGGGATGGGATACGACAATAACGAAGTTTTTATCTTGCTTCTTGGGGTATCTCTTGAAAACTTTTTCGTGAGATCTCTTCAGTTGGTAAATGGTGCCAATGAGACTTTTAGCCAGCTCTAGGTCGTGTGTGATACAATAAAATGTGCTTGTGTCAAACTCCATCGACGTTCTTTCTTCGTCCAATTTATACCCCTTCAGTTTTAAATCCCTGGCACCGATCACATCAAAGTTTAAGGTGCACGTTGCGTTTTTCACTTCTTCCTCGTTGAAAATGGCGTGTGCTGCGGTTTTGATGCTTATGATGGCGTATTCTTTTTCTCTTCTTCTTTTGCTAGTATTTTTACAATCGCTACAGGGGCAGTGTCTTGATCTTGTAGAGCGCATTAGTTTTGAAAATATGATTTGCCCAGATGAATTAAAGCTGCCTCTTGCGTTAGAGTAAACTTCTCTTGGTCTGTCCCTGCTTTTTTTGGTCAATTCTATTTTAACTACTAGTTTCCCCAGTGCTTGGACTAATTTGTCAAAGTTTTTGTTCTTTTTGTAGGGATTTGGCAGAAGTTCATGACTAAATGTTCTTAATTTAAAGAATTGGTTGTGTTGATTTCTTTTTCCACATTTTTTTCTGGCTAGATCCCTATCTGGTCCTTTGTTCATTGCTGGTCTCATTGTGTAGAAAAACCTATGAAAATGGTTTTATATACATGCATTAGCTCAATTTAAGATTTAAAAAATATGGGAAACAGCTAGGCTTTAAAATGTTAGATCGAATTTTGCAAAGATTTTACTGAACATTTGTTTTTTAAAAATTCACCTTTAACAGAAATACAAATTTGATTCTTATGGGCTGAGAAATGTTTCAATTGTTCTAAATTTAAGATGTTGATAGTTCAGGGAGATTATTTACCTTAAGTAAATGGGTTTGCGTATAAGACTTGATAGAAACGCCCTTTGCACAACTCATTAAACATCACAATGTTAGAGAACAATTTGTAATTAAATTGAAACAGGTGAACACATTGATATTTTTATTCCAAAAATTTACTAGGGTTCACACATCCCGTGTTTTCACTCAGAGGCATAGCTAAGAGGATGGAAGGGGCGGAAAACAGGTGAACACATTGATATATATATATATGTTACGGACATTAATTTTTTAATCCCTATCACTGTTACACAGAAACAATGAAACATAATAACTAACTCTCAATTAACTTTATTAATACATCAAAAATTACATACTTGAAATTTAAGAATTGACTTTTTTTTTTTGGATATCCAAATAACATTAAGTTAAAACAAGAAAAGATTTTTACGAAAAAAAGCTGAAAATTCAGCAAATGTTACCTCTTTTTACTTCAAGCAGTATAGGCCATACATTGCAGTCGTAATGTAGTTTCTGAAAAAAAGGCTTTCTCTATATATCCATTGCCTTATACGTGCAGACACAGGATGTTAAGCGCCACTTACTGACACGCCTCACCGAGTGCAAAGAAAAGGTGACTGAAATAACCCAGTCGGAACGATTGAATGAATGGTCCATGACCTGAACAGTCCAACTTTTGGGTTCTCTTTTGCGGGTGCGAAAATTTTACATATTATTTAGATTTAGATTTGGTATACCTGGGGGTTTAGGGGTTTACAGTGGCAAACCTGGGGGTTTAGGGGGTTACAGTGGCATACCTGGGGGTTTAGGGGTTTACAGTGGCAAACCTGGGTGTTTAGTGGGTTACAGGGGCATACCTGGGGGTTTAGGGGTTTACAGTGGCATACCTGGGGGTTTAGGGGGTTGCAGTGGCATACCTGGGGGTTTAGGGGGTTACAGTGGCATACCTGGGGGTTAAGGGGGTGACAGGGGCATACCTGGGGGTTTAGGGGTTTACAGTGGTACCTGGGGGTCTAGGGGGTTACAGTAGCATACTTGGGTTACAGGGGCATACCTGGGGGTTTAGGGGTTTATAGTGGTATACCTGTAGGTTTAGGGGGGCACAGTTGTATCCCTGGGGGTTTAGGGGGTTACAGTAGAATACCGTTTACACCAAAATGATGGTTTGCAATTCTAAAAACTGTACTTGCTAAAACTCAAACATATACAACAAATTTTCAAATTATATTTCAATATAAAAAAAAGTCTTACTTATAAAGTACGGATAGGTGTTAAGTTAATTATAAGTAAAGACAAAATTCATCGGCGCACTCCATTTCTACCATACACTACGATGAAAAGGGTCGATCATTTTTGGTGCCGAGAGATACACTACCAAGATTCGCAGCTACCGTTTGTGCTGCCATTGGGGAAGGGGGGGGGTAATATGCTTGTCGCTCTTTCTTTTACGATACAAATTGAGAATTTGGCCGAAAGTGCTGCAGCCCCATATAAAGTGAAAGTGACACCGGGGTTAAAAAAACTCAACCTCACCCTTACTACACCACTAGAAGAGGCGTAGCTAGAGCGTTTGGCGTCCGGGGACATGATTCATCATTTTTTCGCCACCCACACCTCAACACTGAAACACCTAGCAACCATCAAATCCCACTTTCGTGCTCCCGCTAGCCTGGCGCTCCTAGATGTATGTCCCACAGCCACCCCTATATTCACGCCACTGGCCAAGGCCCACTAGAAACTGACCCTCGAAAATCTGAAATGCCCTCCCCCCAGGCAAAATGTCTGAAAAAAACACATGGTGCATGTACATTTGATACTCACCGTGCATGCAAATTTAGACCGACAGGGGAGACTTTCTTCCTTGCAACAAAACCAGTAAGTCTTTATTTAACATATCAACAAAAACATATTATTATCGTAGCATCACGAGATTAGGGTCAAACTATTTAACATTCAATAGCAATTGTCTGAAAAATGCTCAATAGCAATTGTCTGAAAAATGCACTTATTGTAGAAAACTCTAAACCAGAACTGTTTACATATTGTCAATTGATTACTGCGACAGTTCTCATTACTTATTTTGCTATTTGCAGAGAATTATAAAATGCGAATGCATAGAACTCTTCCCGGTTTCTTGTTGGCATGTCTGTTGTGGCTTGTTGAATAAAAAGCGTCGGCCACCGACCCCCTCGGCGTGTGCCGGGGAACAGAACTACTGGGCACGCCTCGCGTGGGCAGACAAAGGGTGTTCTCGGTACCTGCCGTACATAAAACAGCTCCCACAGGGCTGCCAGCTGTGATACTTGATAGCTGGAAGATTAGGCAGAGCCAGGGTAGGGATCATGATTACAAGTTGCCGGTGACGGGTATGAGGCCAGAGGCGAGGGTGGTAACCTCTGGCCGAGGATTCAAATAATGCAGCCCTGAGAAAGCTGCCCCTAGGCAACCATTTCGTCCCAGCTACAGTGCGAGCTAGTTGCGTTGTGGAAACCCACTGTGGAATCCCTCTTATAGGGCGTCCAACGCTTTCCCGTGATGGGTGGGGGAAGATATTAGGACGTAAATTTTCAATCCCAACTCCATAAGAAAGTCGATCGTGTGCACTGTTTAAACGCATAGTGTCGGACCGACTGGGTGCCTAGTGGTTGGGTCGGCCCCCAGGTGGTGTCCTGGTCGAGCGCCCAGGCGCTTGGGTTGGAGACCTGGGAGAGGGGCCCGGGTGGGGGCCGTCCTGGCGAGTGGGCATCCCCATCGCGCCGATCCGCGGCCCGATGCGTCGGACTGAGGAGGGGTTTGGGGGGGGATAAAGAGTGCAAACTCGCCCTGCTGACTCCATTTCTTGATGTAACAATTCTTAGAACTTGTCTGAGAAGTTAATGTGTGACAACAGCTCTTGCACAATGCCCATATGCTTAGAACGTGTCAGTGAATTAGATCAGTTCAATAGGAGACATAGCAACATACAGGCTGGGATGTTAGGTTAGATTAATTGAATAGGACAATCACAGCAACATACAGGCTGGAATGATAGGTTAGATCAGTTGAATAGGAGACACTCACAGCAACATACAGGCTGAGATGTTAGGTTAGATGAATTGAATAGGAGACACTCACAGTCACGGCAACATACAGACTGAGATGTTAGGTTTTATCAGTTAAATAGGAAACACTCACGATAACATTACAGGCTGAAATGTTAGGTTAGATCAGTTGAATAGTATGCACACTCAGCAAGAGCATAATGGCGGTATTGTACGTCCAATTGATTAACAAAGAGAACATATAGACGTAAACGAATTAGATTTAATGTTCACATCTTTTCAATCAAAAAGCACAGCAGGAATGTCGAGGCTTTGTTGTGCACATTTATGACTCGGGGGGGGGGGGGATGGAATGATTCTTTTTTAAATTGGATGACCAACACCTGGCCGTAATGAGACCATATCGTTGTGTTGGTGTGGGGTGTTATATAGAGCTTTTTTACATAATTTTTCTCGTGCGTGCCCTATGATTGACCCCGCATGAGCCGCTGTGTTCACAGAGGGGCGTGGCTTAGTCCTTTTAACTATTCGTGTTTATGCCGCCAACCACTAAAAATAATTAATCTGTTCCAAATAGTATTTTGTAGAATGAATGTGATTGTTCTAGAAATGCCATGTAGCTTATCGATGACAGGCACGGACGAGGGAACGGAGATTCAGATAGATTTTATTAATTTTACGAGGCATGTTTTATTCTTTGTGTATTTTGTGTGCTCATACTTATATGTGTTTATTTCGCATTATTTATTGGCACATTATTCTAACTGTGTTAACTGTGTACCGGTACAAGATATACCATACTGTAAGTTGAAAATTGTAATTATATTTTCTTTTCTTTTGTAATTATCTTAAGACTTAATAAATCTTATTAATTGTAACTAGAAACTGTTTTGGGTCGTATCTTTAATATTTTTGATTCTATGGTATCGTCCTTTGTTAGGCACTGTTTACAACGAGCCAATTAAAATTAAAATAGGAGATTAATTTCTCCCAATATAAGTCAGTGCGTAACAGGGGCTATTTGTGTTCTACGATAAAATCAGTTCTGTTGTCTTGGATCATTCTATTGAAAAAAAAGACAACAGAATAGAATCGTGTTTACCTTTTGTTATCACGGCGGTAAAATTTAAGTGCTCCATCCCTAATTAAGGAGGCTAACGTGTCGGTCTGGGTGACGTGCAATAATCAATAAGACTTTTAGAAACACAACTCTGACTGACTGACTGACTGACTGAATGACTGACTGACTGACTGAATGACTGACTGACTGACTGGCTCACTGACTGACTGGCTGACTGACAGACGGAGGGAGTGACTGGCTGAATGACTGGCTGAATGACCGACTAGCTGACAGACTGACTGACTGACGGACTGGCTGGCAGACTGACTGCCCGAGTGACTGGCGGACTGACTGACTTTCTGACTGACTTACATTCTGAATGACTGAGTGGTTTATACATTTGGCCGGACCGTCCTTGATTGCCTACTGAACCGACATTAATATCTGCTGAAGCGTGACTGAGCAGGACGCTCTTGCACGACCGCTCACGAAGAGCAGCGTCCAAGACCCCGGTCCGACGTATTCGTAACCGTTAAAGTCAAAACCAGGATCAGGGACCCCCCCGTTGATAAGCAACGGACGCGGATTGGCCTGGCTCGTGAAACCCCCCACGTGTCCGGGGGCCACTTGTACAAATTGGCCCGGTTGTGAAACCGACCAGGCCGGGCGGAAGACTATTTCGTTCGAGATCTTCCCGCCGCCGCGGATAATTCCGTCTCCAACAGTTTCTATCCAAGGAGTCGCAGTCAGACTGCCAGAACTCGGGGCATGTGCCCAACCAGCCTTTACCAGCCTTTTCTCTTCCAGGGATTACGGCTCCCTCCGTCAGCGTCGGTGTCCTGGACGCAGGCACTCACAACCCAGCCCAACGTGCAGGGGAACAATGGAGCATGGCCCCGACTCCACCTGGGGCCAACGGACGGCGCAATGGTCACCAGGGGCGCCCGCGGGTCACCCGCACCACGGCGCCTCGGGATTGGTTCCCGGGCGCCAGACTAAATTCAAAGCACGAGAGTCTCTTTCTTAGCCGAAGACGAAACCTCATTCCACCTTGTCCCCGTTCTCCCATCGTCTGCATGAGGTACGGCAAGCACGCCGTATCGTGCCCCACTCTGATGGCTTCGTCGTACCAGCAC